TAAGCTCTACGACAACCGTAACTTCTATGACCACCGTAACTTGTACGACCACCGTAACTTATACGACCACCGTAACTTGTACGACCACCGTAACTTGTACGACCACCGTAGCTTCTACAACCACCCTAAATTATAACGTGATCGTTCGTGTATATATACATATTTTATTCTTGTATATATATTTCTATCTTATATTCTCGTATATATGTATTATTCTTGTACATTTCTTGTGTGTGTATATATGTTTCCCGCAATGATTGCAATCTACTATTGCCGTTCGTTGTTTGCGAGATTGTAAGTTGTCAACCATGACTACAAGTTTTGTATTGTGATCGTAAGTGTTTGTGGTGATAGAAGATTCTACCGAGTATCTACCGAGGTTTTATTCACTCTATTTTGAACCTCTCGGACACTTTAAGGCCGGACTTGAGGCCGGTCTCCAAGGTTCAGTGAGCCTAAAATATCTCACACAAATAAGATAATGTGATGATGGTAATGTAATGATGAAGTTTGGGAAATCTCGCTCAAAGGATTTTTGTTCATGAACGCAGCTCGATGGAACTTTGTTATATGTGTTCAATAAAACCTAATGGTGATGTCGAACCTGATGATAAAAAGTGTCGAACGTTTACGTAGGCTACATCAGTCATAATTTTCCTGTATTTCTGTAGAGCGAACTTTACAAATAACTTTTGCTTGTGACCACAGTATGTTATCTTTAATATGGAACGGTAATTTTTATAAAATCTAAATCTTGAATGCCATAAAAGGAATAATTGGTTTCATTCTCAATATTCACCTAACTTCTGGCTTTATGAATCAACAGAGCTTAAAAAATCACCATAGAAGTGGTCAGTCCAGTGAAAAATAACCAAGGAAACTATTTCACTATAATCAATGGCGTGTTATAGTTGGCCAACCAAATACCGTCTTTAATTTCAGCAACGGTTCTTAATAAGGATGAAGATAAAGAAGTTCTCACGTTACGCACATCACAAAGCCACCATAGAACTCCGCCTGACACTTCATTGTTTATGGGATCTAAGCCTCTCAAAAATCTCCTTCAATAAAGGATCGAATTATTCCATACAAGAGCAGCGCAGACTCTTATCTTAGCCATGCGTATCGCTGCATCTCCACGCTTCATTAAACGGGTACTTTGTCCCACGACGTAAAAATATTGTCCTAAAAGATACACTCAAAGAAATGAGCGAGACCTTATCCAAATAAGGATGCACTTTTGCCCAAACTGAGTCATTCTGACCCAGTTTGGTCTAGTAAATGGCGTTTCAGTGATACGTCCGCTATATGTTTGTGCTGTGGGTAAGAAAGAGTGTCACTTTTTCAACAATATTACCCATACATTTTTCTACATGTTGAAGTGACAGAACATTCACTTGCGATGTATGGCAGCTTGCATTGCCCTATGATTGCGGTCATTCCAGTGTCTACGCATAAAAATTAACGGATCATGTTGACTAATTATTACTTTCTCACATCACGAGTAGACAGCTGATGTATCACTGATACATCATATCACTCGTGCCCGACAAAAGCGGGTCAGGATGACCCACATAAAAGAAAAAAGTGCATCGCCATTTGGCCAAAGTCCGGACTCATTTCTCTGAAGGGATGGGCTCTAGGGATTAAACTTATGGGGCACAAAACCACGTATGGAAGTAAAAATTAGTTAGCAATTCTCTGTGGACTTACTCCAGAAGTGTGCTTGAGAACCTGTGAGCAATTAGAATTGAATGGGATTACGTTTTGCATGTTGTCAATGTTCAAACCAATTGTGTCGCTGCTCAATTGGCTGCACTTTAGAAAAATATTGAATAAATGATTAAAAAAATTAATAGCGATGAATGATAGTAGTTAGAGGGGTGGGTAGATAAGGTAGTTAAGTATGTAGGTAGTAAGGTAGTTAAGGGTGTAGGTAGTAAGGTAGTTAAGGGTGTAGGCAGTGAGGTAGTTAAAGGTGAAGGTAGTAAGGTAGTTAAGGGTGTAGGCAGTGAGGTAGTTAAGGGTGTAGGTAGTAAGGTAGTTAAGGGTGTAGGTAGTAAGGTAGTTAAGGGTGTAGGTAGTAAGGTAGTTGAAGGTGTAGGTAGTAAGGTAGTTAAGGGTGTAGGTAGTAAGGTAGTTAAGGGTGTAGGTAGTAAGGTAGTTAAGGTCTTATTGCCTGGTCCGTAATTTGCTAGGCATTTTAAGACTGAACATATGCTCCTGCATAGCTTCGTTTAGTGACTTTAGTCTGTAATTTAATTAAGGTCGGGAAGGGTGTAGTAGTAAGGTAGTTAAGACTTAAGGATCAGCCCTTAAGGGAATTAAAGGTGTAGGTAAGGTGCGTTTCTAATGAAAGTACTTCATATTTATCAGCCACTTATTTGAATGCAAAATAAATTACATCGCTTATCTCACAAACATTTCAAGACTCGAGAAGAACGAAAACTTTTCAAGACGTGAGCATTGACCTACCCACCAGACCTGCGCAAGTCCACAGCTCAAGGCTCACGTTACTTCGTCATCTTGGAAGGAAAAAGATGCATGCGGGTGGTCGTTGATATGGAGTTTTAACCCTCTACCGCCGTATGTCACTCTCCGGGAACATAACTTTCAACTCAACTTATACGTAAATTATTGAGTGTAGCAACCTGAGGAAGCTTGTACGCAACAGAGAACATTTTAAAGTTGTACGTGGCGGCAACCATCAGTGCAAGTCATTTTGCGCTCACTGGAACGTATCTTTTTTGGGAAGTGAGCTTGTGACAATATTGCTCCTGATACTCATGTCAGGCGGTAGAGGGTTAAGCCGTGCATCCACAGCAGTAAGTTTACAATTTAACTGAAGCTACAAACTTATCAAAGGTGGAACCATGTGAAGGCAAGCATTCGAATGATCGCGCTCTACTTCTATTAGTGATGTGGTAGGGAACAGAGTACACTGATACTCTGTTGGGGATCTGCGTGTACTGATCTTCTGTTAGGGATCTGCGTGTACTGATCTTCTGTTAGAGATCTGCGTGTACTGATATTCTGTTAGAGATCTGTGTGTACTGATCTTCTGTTAGAGATCTGTGTGTACTGATCTTCTGTTAGAGATCTCCGGATCTGCATGAACTAACATTCTGATCCAGAAGTGACGGCAAGAAACTGAGTGCCCATTTTAACTATATTTCCAAGATTGTTTTTGATGTCGTGGATTTTCCCACGATTGTTTGCTCACCTAGTATATCGCAATTTTCAAGTTCAATGAAAATGAGCTTTTAGGCGGGTACATGACACGCACGAGATAAGCATTCAGAGGGATATCTTAATAAACTTTTTAGGCAAACTCCAGAAAAGAACAAGTACACTGACGAAACAATTTCTAGTCTATTTACAAAGATTCATCCAACCGCTAAAGTTATTATATGAATTCGAATATTCATTCTATCCATTGAATGTGAATAGGAACGTCACGAACGTGTCTTAAATCTTATCATCGTTCGGCGATATAAGAATTGTTGAATAAAAATAATAATAGCGGTTTCAGCGTTTAGTAGGCCGTAGGCCTGTCGCCCATTCTTAACATCGCAGAACATTCACAGCATTTTGCTGTCTCGAACTCGCAACTCACTGCTGCAAAAATGGTGTAACATAAGTAATAATACTTATTATTACATAAGTAATAATACTTATGTTTAATTTATCTCCTTTATTTTAATCAACGAAAAGAATAAATCAGCAAAGAAGTCTGGCCGAAGAAGAACGACGCATCAAATGACGCGCCGTTGAAAGGTTCACGGTCAATGCCATCACGGGTCGTCGGCTGCGGGAGCATTGTTCACGGGATATTTTATTGCACATTTCACGGCCACTCCAAATTAAACTCTTTTTCAGTTATAGATGCAACGAAATCAATCCTTTTAATGACAAATACACAAGTTTGTAATGTTATGGTCACTGTAATTAAGCTCATGTTCATTAATATCAACTACTAAATGCACCCATTTAGTGGCGAAAAATACCAAGTATTAATTTCAGCGGAACATCATTGTAGTTATTCGGCCAAGAATCACCCAATTCTTGTCTATTTATACATACGCTTCGATATATTATTTCCATTGTAGTTGATCATTATTCATTCATCTCGCCATGCACGTTTACAGAAACGCAGCTCGAACGTTCAGTACACGCATAAAAAGTCAAGCAAAAGTTAACTTCAACGGTTCATATCCTAATAATAACTCTTGTTATAAGCACATACGAATATTGGTGACGGGTAATGTATTTGTAGACGAAAAGATGCAACTTGAAACGACGCAAGAAATTCGTTTAGCAATAATTAATTGATGGCTCGAAGTTAAGGTAAGAGAAGGACACGCGTTTGTGTAAGGATATACTAAGAAATCGAAATAACAAGAACGGTTCTTCTTAAAACCTCTAGTCTAGAAAATTGATCCAAAACTAAAATTGCAACCGATTGTGTTAGTGAACATTTACCGTACGTACCTGTCAAACAAACAGCTTCTGGCACGAAATGTTGCATTCACGGAACCAAAATTTTGTTCAAAACACTAATGACTTAGCAATGCATGAAAATATTGGCGCTGAAATCACGAAAATTTATCATCTAATTCAAGGAACTCTTGAGCAACTCTCATCTGTCAGCCATGGTCAATAGTCGCTTAACTATAAAACCCCAGAAAAGACGTAGTCTTAAAATAAATTGCTAAAAATGTATAAATATAAATGCAAATACTATGGGCAAGGAATAATGATTAAAAAATGATGTTCATGCTTTCATTTCGGCTCCTTATTTCCCGGACCGAATCCTCTTTAACTTAATAACAGAGCCTAACAAATACATAGAAACCCTACGACTGGAAAAATTAAACATTGCTCGCTTGAAAATATGTTCTTTGTAACATAACATAACATAGCATTACATAACATAGTGATGTCGGCGCTGAAGAGTAGGCCTGATGCGGCCTGTCGCAGATTCTTTAACATTTCGTGCCTTGTTCACAGAAGATCTAACATTGTACATTGAAGTCTTCGACAAAAAATCCTTACATTCCGAAACTTGAGACGCTGAGCAATCAATTAATCCAGCATTTGATGACGAAACTGTCGCTAAAAATGAACTGAAGAGCGCAGTAAGGCAGGTAAGTCTGCTATGCCATATAAAATATAAACTACGGATAATTATTGATGAAAATAAATAAAAAATCATTTGTATTTGTAGTAAGAAATGGTTGGTTACAACACGGCTTAATATTTGAAAGGGCTAATATATAGATAACATTCAGTTACAGAATCATTTACTTGATTTAAACCAAAATCAATTTTATAGAAGGACAAATAGATAAATAACTCTCCGCTACCGAGCCTTTATTAGTGAATTGAAATCGGATTAATTTGATAACAATAACAAATCATCAAGTGCAGAGGCCTGACTTTGAAGAATAAAATTAATCAAAAGCAATAAAATCAATGCTGCTATAAGACACATAATGGAGTAGGTGGCATCCACGATACACGCACAAATGATTCCGTTACCGTATTGAAAATAACAATAATTTCTTCCACAAAATATTAGCATTACTCATTACACTTCCGTACGTCGACGGCCACGAATCGTGACACGAGCACCACAAACAAAACGTTTTAAAATTGTCATACCTAAACGAAGATTCAGCACTAAAATAACAATCATCGCAGGAATCATTCACGATATGCGTTATTTGTTAACAATGTTTATTTCACGATGTTTAATTAACAATTAAAACCTCTTGATTAATCAACATAATATTTATAGACAAACACATGTACTAGACCTGCAACACCAACTAATAAAACAGTCCCACAAATATTAGTTTAAAAAGGATCAACAGTGAACTCATTGACATAAACCTTGGATCGCAAATGCAAATAAAATTGTAAGTACGAGCGAATTCACAGCCCTGGTCGATTAATTTACGAATATAAACTCACAGAAGAACGTCAAATTCTGAAAAAAATGTAGAAACGTGACTTTATATAGTAGCCTTCGTAATATAATTAGTGTTAGAACTAGTGTTGCCGATAACAATGGCACTAGTTCATGCCCCGGGACACTAGTTCATGTCTAGAGACATAAATCCGTGTCCTAGGATACTAGTCCATGTCTAGACATAAATCCATGTCCTAGGACACTAGTCCATGTCCTAGGGCACTAGTTCATGTCCCGGGGCACTAGTTCAGGTCCCGAGACACTAGTTCATGCACTAGCTCATGGACAAGCCACGCCCTGGGACACTAGTTCATGTCCCGGGACACTAGTTGCTGCACTAGATCATGGAAAAGCCACGCCCTGGGACACTAGTTCACGTCCCAGGACACTAGTTCATGTTCCGGGACACTAGTTCACGTCCCAGGACACTAGTTCATGTTCCGGGACACTAGTTGCTGCACTAGCTCATGGACAAGCCACGCCCAGGCTCTAGCAGGTCGGCAGAGGCAGCAGCTTCCTCCTGCAGCCACTGCAGCGCCTGAGGCGTGTAGTACGAGATGATCACGTCAGCTCCTGAGAGAAAAAATATACCAATTACTGAACATTTTATATGAACGCATTATGCTACATTGCGTACAAATAGCAAATGCGGTACAAACGCATTACTAAATATTTCGTACAAACACATTAACTACGCAACGTTGGGACAAAGAAATTATGCAACATTTGGACAAATGAATTCGGCAAAATTTTGTACAGACTCATAGCTTAACATTTTGTCATTTTTGTCACACACGAGTCATTGTCAAAGCTATTCGTCTCTAGAGGCCTCATAATAAAGTTACCTCATAAAAGAATGATAATTAAGTGTGTGGGTTCTGTGCATTAATAATTAATCCATTACGACAGATTCCCAGAATTGAAATACAGTAATTTACCGCACGACGTTGATACAGTACCTACCAGGTTATCTCTTTTAAACCATCCTAAATACACGAATTGAAATATTTAATTAAAATAAGTAGAAATATTCATCATTTAAATAAGTCATCAATTTATTATGAAGTAATAATAATAATAAAGTAGCAATAATTTAGTCACCAGCATGAAATATTTTTTCAAAAATTTAAAAAATATCCATCACTTGAATAAGTCATTGATTAATTATGAAGTAAGTATTTGGAATAATCTCCGAATAATTTATTCACCTGCACGCCTCATGCTGCGGAAAACTTCGGTGAGCGTCCGGCGCAGCTCGAAGACACCGTGGGCCGCGGCGTGGTGCAGCATCGCGTACTCCCCCGACACCTGCATGGGGCACAGTACCGTGTTATGGTGGCATACTACCGTGTTACGATGGCACAGTACCGTGTTATGGTGGCACAGTACCGTGTTATGGTGGCACAGTACCGTGTTATGATGGCACAGTACCGTGTTATGAGGGCACAGTACCGTGTTATGGTGGCACAGTACCGTCTTATGGTGGCACGACACTATCGTGTTATGGTGGCACGACACTACCGTGTTATGGTGGCACGACACTACCGTGTTATGGTGGCACGAGACTACCGTGTTATGGTGGCACGACACTATTGCTGTGCACCTCGACTGCTGCTGTGCACCTCGACTGCTGCAGTGCCTCCGTACTGTGTGCCCCTACTACTCTACCTACCGTCGGGCCCCGTATCTCGTGTTCCACTCCACCTTCCGTCATTTAGATTAGGATTAATTGTTTCGATATTTATTTTCGTGTTTACAGTGTTCCTCTAGTAAGGTATTTTCGTGTTTACAGTGTTCCTCTAGTAAGGTATTTTCGTGTTTACAGTGTTCCACTATGTGTTTTCGTGGTTAGTGTTCGTTTTAGTAAATTTAAGGGTATTTGGTTTTCATTTCCTTCGTTAAGGTTCGGTGGCGGTTTAGGGTTAATTCTTCGGACCCAATTGGAGTCGGTCCTGCACCCAATTCCTTTACAACCACGCACCTGGTATATAAACATGGGGTGGTGTGGGTAGGTCTGCTTAACACGTGTCACGAGGTCGAGGTACGGCAGGCCAGGCTTCACCATCAGCATGTCCGCTCCCTCTGCCACGTCACGAGCCTGTAGCAGTGATGACTATTATTACAAACATAATTTAATAATTATCTTCAAGAAGGCATACAGCGAGTAATAAACAGGCAAGAGAACACACATTTTTTAACAATGTAAGGTAAAAAAATGTTCCCAGCCATAACAAGGATTGATCGTTTGGCATCACTAGGAATGACTTTATATATATGCATATTATACATATATTAATTGATTATATTGAACTATTGATATATAATAACATGTATATTATATGTATATTGATTTATTGCGCACAGCAGCACGCATAGCGAGCCCGGCAGAGGCAGGCGGCAGCTGGTATCTCTGACGGTCTCCTGCAGCAGGCGCAGACGACGCAGCGTCTCTGAAGGGGCCGTAGAAGCTGGACGCGAACTTGACGGCGTAGGAGAGCACAGAGACCTTGCCGTCCAGCCCCTGGGACGCCAGCGCCGCCTTTATGGCGCCCACACGCCCGTCCATCATGTCGGAGGGCGCCANGCCAGCGCCGCCTTTATGGCGCCCACACGCCCGTCCATCATGTCGGAGGGCGCCACCACATGGGCTCCTGGTCGACATAAACGGTCAGAGGTACAAGAGGAGGACGAGGGAGAAAAAGAGGTACAAGAGGAGGAAGAGGGAGAAGAAGAGGTACAATACAGGACATAGGAAGATCTAAAAGCATTTATCTATCACACGAGCCTCTAGTGGACAGAAAAAACTGGTAGTATAAGAGCAGGGATGCAAGAAAAGAGGAGGGATAATGATCGAGGAGATAACGTAATGTGGCGATCACACGAGCCTCCAGTGGACAGAAAAAACTGGTAGTATAAGAGCAGGGATGCAGGAAAATAAGAGGGATAATGATCGAGGAGATAACGTAATGTGGCGATCACGCGAGCCTCTAGTGAAAACAAATAAGTTTTAGCGTATGAGCAAGAAATGGCTACAAAGAGGCACAATAAGAAGCTCGAAAGTTATTTGAATTGTTCAGAGCTCTAAGAAATTGAGCAGGCTTAAAGAATTACTACGTATGAGATTATTTCCACATTAATCTGTTTTCAAAAAGCTGTATTAACATAAACAGAAAGTCTTTTATAAATTTCTTGCTAGCAACTCATTCTGTTATCTCTAAATCATGGTCAAGAGAAATTCAAACTACGCCAAGTGGTTACAAAATTAAGTAAATCTGCCCCTTCAGTGACAGGATAGCATTTCACTCTACAGGTATCATTGAGACTAAAATTACAGACACCACAATTCACGTTGGAGTATTTAACTTTTGTAAGCGTGCATATATACATACCGCTGTACCTAAACCCAGTAGGTCTTATAAAGTACCTACGTATAGTGAAGTTATGCAGCCTGACAAAAGTTAATGCACACACGGGACAGTAACAAACCGTGTCGGGAACCTACGTAGTTCCGACAGTCACATAGTTAATGGATCGTAAGCTGCATAATATATAATAGTTAAGACCGGTTCACCCTTCCTGTCTTCGGCAGTCATTCACTATGAGGCGCAGGTGCTACAACCTAAATAAGGTAGCCTCTCTAATATATCCATTGTGTGACAATAGACACACAATGGAGATACTAGATCTCCTGCCACATGCGCAGGACTGAATTTAATCAAAGGTTTAATCAACCAAATTTTGGGGCCAGGGTTTAATTAATAATTTAATCAACCAACTTTTGCGACCTGAGTTTAATCACAGGTTTAATCAACAACTTCTGGCACCTGGGTTTAATCAATGGTTTAAACAACAAACTTCTGACACCTGGGTTTAATCAATGGTTCAAACAACTAACTTCTGGGACCTGAGTTAAATCCATGGTTTAACAACATCTGGGACCTGGATTTAATCAATGGTTTATTCAAGGATTTAAACAAGGGTTCAATCAATGGTTTAATTAACAAACATCTAGGGCCTGGGCCTTTGATCAATGGTTTAACCAACCAAGTTCTGGGGCCTGGATTTAATCAAGGGTTTATTCAAGCATTTATTGATAAGTGACAGACCTGCAGCGGCGTAGGCGAGCGCCTGCTGCGCCAGACGCGCGATGGACGCCGCGTTGTTGATGGACCCGTCGGCGCTGAGCTCCCCACAGTGACCGTGACGGGTGTATGCACACAGACATACCTGTGTGATGTACATGTGCTGTAGTACACAGCTGTACAGAGTACACTTTCTGTAGTAGATACACCTGTGTGATGTACATGAGCTGTAGTACACAGCTGTACAGAGTACACTTTCTGTAGTAGACACACCTGTGTGATGTACATGTGCTGTAGTACACAGCTGTACAGAGTACACTTTCTGTAGTAGACACACCTGTGTAATGAACACTCATTCTAATACACATCTTAACAGTGTACACTTACGGGAATAAGCAAAGATATATTTGCATACCCGGTATCGTACACTTACTGGAGTAGAGCATTGAGAAACATGCACTGTATGCAGCACAAATAAGCACTACTCCGAAGTGTTCACTTACTGTAATGCAGTATTAAGTTGATGATAACAGTGTTACAGCAAACGGTAACTATATAGATTATCGCTGTACATCCAAAAAGAAATTTCCAGCTATCGCCAGGATACACTCTAAATTAATATGATTTAATCCGTATTTTAAAGGAGAGTTCAGGGAACGCATGTGTCCACTATTTAGCACCTGCAACATCAAATGTTGAACACATGCAGCGACAAATGTTGAACATATGCAGCAACAAATGTTGAACATATGCAGCGACAAATGTTGAACATGTGCAGCGACAAATGTTGAACATGTGCAGCGACAAATGTTGAACACATGCAGCAACAAATGTCAACATATGCAGCAACAAATGTTGAACACATGCAGCAACAAATGTTGAACACAGTAAAGCTATCAACATCAGCTAAGCAGACATAACATATGTAAAGCTATCAACATCAGCTAAGCAGACATAACATATGTAAAGCTATCAACATAAGCTAAGCAGACATAACATACGTAAAGCTATCAACATAAGCTAAGCAGACATAACATATGTAAAGTTATTAACATAAGCTCACCAGACATAACCATATGTAAAGCTATTAACATAAGCTAACCAGACATAACACCCATTGAATATTCTTCATTGAATATCAAACGAGTACAACATCTCCTAGTCGGGCATACATTAGGAGATTTTACAACACCAAGACCAGCAGGTATTATAAATGCGTAGCATTTCCACACCCAAACAACAGAATGAAATAAATGAGGAAAAAATAGCATGCATAACTAAAATTGTGATGTGCAATTACAGTTCATATAATTTTTTGTTCTGAAATACATAAGAGTACATTACTACTCACAGAGCAGAGCTTATGAGGTACAATAGAGGCGAGGTATTTCTCCAGTGAAGAGACGCTGTGCCGCGATACTCCCGGCATGCTGGCGACAGGTTCTGATCCTTCAGCAGCTTCCCTGTTATAAAGAACACAATGAATACCTGACAAATGCAGTGCTAAATGCAGGAACGTACTATTTATTCAATAGATATTGTCGGTGCTGAAAAATATTATTGATTCAATGATTCTTTTTAACTCTCATCAAGTATAAAAAAATTTATGATGAAGAATTCTTACAGGTGTTGAGGTGTACTATACCTATATGTTTTTACATGTATCAGCTTTTGTGCACGAAACGATTAAGGTAAGAAGTTATAAAACTTAGCAAAACTAAGGTAAATGTGTTTTTTCTATGTACATGCCTGACTTTAAGTACTCAGATCGTAAACTTTCTAATGATGCTTATTAAGAGAGGACATTGTACATTTCTCCACAACACTAATGTGACAAGAACGGACATTCGAATGAATGTTTGATAAATTTATATGGAAATACTTCATTGTAAGTACTTGGATGTTAGAAAGTAAACTTATCTGCCTATGATTATTAAGAGAAGACAATGAAGTTTTCCCTAAGACTCACGTGACAAACACGGGCAAAACGAAATTGTGTGGGTGCAGTTCGGTGCCACAGGACTGCCATGCTCGCAGAGTGGCACTGCCATAGCCTGGATGCAGGACATGAGTAGCAGGAGGGTGGTAAGTGACAGAACTACCAGTCTTCTCAGCCATGTTGGTCCGCTTAGTGGTAGTGGTGGTACTGGTGCTTCTTCCACTAGTGGTAGAGGTGGTACTGGTGATTCCACTAGAGGTAGTGGTGGTACTGATGCTTCCACTAGTGGTAGTGGTGGTACTGACGCTTTCACTAGTCCACACTGATCACAAATACAAACCGGATAATCGGTAGTGTTTTGAAGATTCTCGTGGGGGCGCTGATTAATTCAATGAGGCACTCGGCTATGACACAGCTTATTTAATTTCACAAACTCGGATCTTTCACATCAATCAGAATAATGTAATAAAAATTATCTAGGCTCAATGAGAGTTTAAAATTTTAATATATAAATTTAGTTAAAAACTTCAAACTTATAATATAATTTATAGGTATAAAAAACACCAGTTTTATCTCTGAAAATTTCTGCAAAGGAGATGAAAAAGCCCGAGTTATTAACAAATGCCTAGCAACAAAGACTAATAACTAAACCCAGTATATGTAACTGGTAAAGTTGAATATCTAGTCAATTTGGAAGGAGTGCAGCATCAGAAATAGTTCAATGTCAAAATATATGAAGCTAAGATCATTTTCGCAAATCTGTATCGAAAAACAGGTTTTTTTAAAAAGATACAAGGTACAGAAGGAACACGTGTGCTAATACTTACACTGTAATAGAATGAGCAACAGAAAGATGTATTTTCTCTTAAAAACTCATGTCAACCATTGGCATGAATGCTCCAACATGTTCAACATTGCTTGGTTGAAAGAACTTCAGTTTCAGCTTTCACTTAGTCATTCTGGGTCTTTTTCACCAGTATTACCATTAGTTTCATCAAGCCCATCAGTGTCATCAAGCGACTCAGTGTTTGGAGGAACATTGTGCAAGGCCCGGTAATGTTTGCTCAGGCTGTTCCGCTGGTTGAACTTAGCATGACAAAACTTGCATACATGAATTTTGGCAGAATCTTGAGTTGATGCGTGGATTTTTTTGTGTGCATTATAACGATCACGTCTTTTGAAACTTGCACCGCACTCCTCACAGATAAGATCGATCTGCCTGTGTATACTATTCTTGTGTTTTGTGTAGTTCAGACGAACTGAAAATGTTGATGAACATAACTCGCACTTGAATGGCCTATCATCAGAAGCATGAGCTTTGATGTTGTGCATTTCAAGTTTCTTCTGATTGCAGAAACTTTTATCACATGAGTCACACTTGAAATGAGGTAACCTCATATGTCGTGCTAACCCATCCTTGTCTTTTAACAAATTCAAGCACAACGGGCATTTTAGCTTAGGATCAGACTTGTGGTTTTTGAAGTGTTTAGCAAGAGTTGCCCTTTGAGAGAACCTCAAGCTACAAACAGTGCACTGGAAGGGACGCTCTCCACTGTGCATGAGCACATGGCTCTTAAGGGTAGCGAGGTGTCGGAATTTTCTATTGCATTCTTCACACTTGTATGGCATGGCGCCGGAGTGTATTCGTCTGTGTGCAGCTAGTGAGCTTGAACCACCAAAAGATTTATTGCAGTAACGGCAGACGTAGCGGCGACGGGTGCAATGTTTAGCGCGGTGCTCCCGCAACGACAGGGCATCACGGAACGTCGTCTTGCAGATGTTGCATTCAAAGTTGCTGCCCACGCTGTGGTTGCTTACCTGCCATGTAGAAATGCATTAAAGAGCTGACTAATAAAGAGCTGACTAATAAAGAGTTGACTAATAAAAAGCTGATTAATAAAGTGCTGACTAATAAAGAGCTGATTAATAAAGAGCTGAGTAGGTAGTAAAGAGCTGACTAATAAAGAGCTGACTAATAAAGAGCTCAGTAGTAAAGAGCAGACATATAAAGAGCAGATTAATAGCTTCCAGATGATTCAAGATACACAATATGACTATGAATAGATTTCAAGAAAATGCATTAGTGAAATGACATATTTGCTTTCAAATGATTCAAGATGCACAACATATTTTAATCAACAGTTCAAAAAAATCAAATGAAATTAAAGAGGACAGTGCAATGATCAACTGTGGTTCAAAAATTTCAATGATAATTTTTAATGACAGTAGATAATGGCAGGTTTGAAAGACATAAGATTCAACATGAAAATTTAGTAGCATAGCATAAAATGTCCCCCTTAGTAACTAGGGTAGGCCTTCACAGTATAGCAATAATTCACTTAAGAAGTATGGCATTATGGGAAAAATTGAGGAACAAATGTTACTAAAATATTATACTTAAAATATGGGAGCATTTCATCAGAACAATGTGAACTGTTATCAGACTCGGCAAATAAATCCTAAACTTTTATTTTCTTCAACCAGTTATCTGTTAACTCACGAGTTCCATGTTACGCAATATAGGTACATATCTCTGTGAAACATATTTTCTTCAACAATCAACATCACCCATGATTAAAAAATGGTTACTTTTACCAGAGTGGTTTGCCTTAGGGAGATATTCCAAGTATATAGTTTAATCCCTCTTAGTCTAAATCAATTACAGAAAATTAATTAGCTAGTTGATTATGCATTTCAATTTAAGATAGTAAGTTCAAGGCATTTTTTAAAATGAATTTATCCATTCATTTATTCATTCATTTATTTATCCATTCAGATGAATATTCACTCACCATATGCTTGTGGAACTGCTTGCTGGAGTGGAATTCCTGGTTGCATTCATCACAATGGGAAGTCTTCTTGGGGGATGAAAGTGGCTTCTTTTTGCAGGAAGCTATGTTCTTCTTGATGCGAGTTCTCTTCTTGACATTCAGAGCTGGTAAATTCAGCGGAGACCCTGGACAATTAATAACATCCACAGCAGAGGAATTGCCATTTGTCAAATTTTCTTCATTGTTCATTACAGAAGATTTTTGCTTAGGAGAAACAGGAAGTGAAGCAGTTTCTGCTCTTTGTAGCGGCTTTGGTGGGGGTATAAGAAGTGGTGTCTGAAATGAACTGGCCTGTGGCATCAACTTCATAGAGTTAGATGACTTAGATGGGCTTGAGTGAGTTGTTGGATGCAGAATTTTTGAAACAGAATGTGTATGTGAAGAAGTAGTAAGAGGAATTGATACTGAAGGAAGTTTATGATGTAGTTTGGTAGAAGAAACTGGAAGAGAACGATCATGATAAGAATGTGATGGCAGGAGAGAATAAGGTAGAAGTGATGAAGATGTTGGGATGCAAGCTGGAAATGGACCAGATGGCAGGACATGAGATGGATGCAGTGGCTGCACTTGCTGTAGAGGAATAGGAGCAGCTATGTAATGGGGAGGCATTGGATCCAAGGGAGTATCATATGAACTTATAGAATCAGGAGCCAAGTTCATTGGGTGACTGGCTGGGCTCAAGGTACCACTCAATGCACATGTGTAAGGAGTCAATTGAGAGAACTTTGCTCCAGGGCTCAAGTGCAGGCCAGTAACTCCAAGATCAGGAGTTGGAAAGTTCACATTTGCAGATGAAAAAGGCTGTAAATTAGGATAGAATGGGATGTTTGACTGAACAAAGTCTTCAAAAGATTGTTGGTATAAAGAAGCACTTGGATGTGACAGAGGGGGAGGGTGTATGGAAGAAGATGTTAGTGATACGTTAAGAGATTGAGATTGTTGTGTTGCTGAATTAAGCATGTTGTCAATATTGTGGGAAGGTTGATTAGAATTATAGGTGATGTTACTTCCTAAAGTGGTAATTACTGGCAATGAATCACAAGGTCCTGTCAAAGAAGATGTTGAGTAAGGTGGCAAAACCAAGTTGAGGCAAGTGTTAAGATCATCAACATTGGAATTGTCTTCATCTTGTAAGGTTTTATCACTATAGTCCAACGCTGCACCAATATAAGTATTATCAGAGAAGCCTGAAGAGCTGCAGGATCCCCCAACTGGGAAAAATGGAGCCAGAGGTTCTTCTTTGTTTCTCAAATTGGCTTTGCTTTTATCAAGAGATTCATAAGAGGGGTAGTGGTTAGGATCCAAAACATTTTCAGATGACTCAATTTTTTTCAGGGATGGAGCAATTCTAAAATCCTTTGTATAAGATGCATCACAAATCTCTTCCCTGCATGATATAGGATGACTTCTTATTAAGGACATTTCAGACCCTTTTCCCCCATAGGAAACCTTGTATTCTTCATCAATATTGAGAGGTTCTGCACTGCTGCCAGCATCATTTCTTGGGATGACACTCATCAAAGTATTCACATGGAAATCAGTGTTACTTTTGGTCACAGAGAGGCTGCTGATGTCAGTAAGGTGTTTGTCTCCATAACATTTTCTTCCAGAAAAATTATGACCATCACCAAATGATGGTATTGGAGGCAATAAAAACTCCTTGGAATTTGGGACACATTTTTCATTAAAAGATGAATCATTACCTCCAAGAAAAGGCACATTTTCTTGATATATATCATATGAGCTCTGGCTGTACAAATCCATATATGGCTGCCCAGTAAATACATTGTCTGAGAAAACTGATGTGGGAATGTTCTCCACATCAGATGAAGATGATTTGGGCAGGATAAAGTTCATCTTACAGCTTTCTTGTGATATGCAATTCAATTCCTTGTCAAGATGCCCAGTAGTCTTAACATGAGCACTCTTACATGGCAGTTCACTGCTTCTTAAAAAAGTTCCAGCATCATCGTTTTCAACCAGACTACTTTCATTGCCATTATTTTGAAATTTTTCAGATTTCTCTTTGAAACTTTGGGCCAGTTCAGGGTCAAAAATGTGTTGTTCATCACTGGTCAATGATGGATTATTGGCCTCTGAATATACTGTAGATGGAATCACTTTCTCAGAAGAACCAAACACTGGCAGGGTTTGAGAAGAAGTACAAGGACATGAACTAATACTGGTCCTCTTATCTTGTGTTTCATCAGGGACAGAGTCTTGCAAGGGTGTGGGAGATACTGATATCTTTGGCAGGTCACTACAGAGAGAATGTTTTTGTTGCTGTTGGAAGAATTCCCTTTGATAATGAAACTTCTTTTTGTGTGCCACAGAACATTGGTCAAAGAGTTGAGGAATGTAAAAATCACAACACTTTGCACCTGCTTCATAATTGTGGCTTATAGAGCCATCAGATCCTAATAGTGGCCAATTGGGGCTGGGAACTCGGACATTTTGAGAATTTAGCTGATGCAATGATTCACCAGGTGCCACATGTGGCAATGCCAACATATTGGGTCTGGGAACAGCAATACAATCCATATGATCAAACTTGAGTGTGCAATCAGTGGCGTAATGTTCTCCATCAGAATTGCTGCAATGAAGCTCACTTTTTGGGCCTGAAAATTGTAAGTTGGCGACTGGGACACTTGAATGGATACCAGCCACAGTTTC